ACCTGAAGTTACGTTTATAGGAAGGAATAGAGACACGGTCCATTTACCCGGTGGATATACCTTTGCTCGCCTTTTTACAGGCGAATTTTTGCCCGGTGATCGAGGGTCGGAAATAATTCTTGCGAATAATCGGGCATCGATTTCGCCTTCCGCTACCTGCTCACTTCTCGTTTCTTTTTTTTCCCTCCAATTTTATTTCGTTCCATTTTTATTTTTCGTTTCATTCTATTCGCTCATGTTGTTGTTGAAACGAATTTATTTCGTTTATTTTTGTTTTTGTTTTTTTCCATTTTTTTTTTTCTTTTTTTGGAAAAATTAATTTTATAGGTTCTACTTGAAACACGTTGTATCGCGTTCAATTAATATTTAGTTTTATGGACTTTTATGGGCGAATTTTTATATAGTTTCTTTTTTATTTCTCCCCTCCTCCCCTGTCCTATATTTTTTTATTAAACATTGAAAATTACGCTCGTCCGGAATTATCTTTTCGGAGCGGAGAGGGATGAGATTGAAATGCGCGCGCAGAAAATATTCATCCGGTTACACGAACCGTGTTCAACGTGGAACAATGAGAAATTTATAATAATTGTTAATACGAGTTTGTAAGCGGCGATTAATAGCGGGCTGTAACAAACAACAAAAGGATAATATAATTGAAGAAATTAGCGATGAAAAGGGTGTAAATGGGTGGTGTGACGATAGGGCGATAGCTCGCTATAAGGGCGATAAATCGCGTTGTTTTGGAATTTATTACGTTACTCGGCTAAAAAACGCACAGTCACTCTCGTGATCTGTAAAAAGAAAAATATATATATATATATATAAATCGCCATAGGAAGTGTAAGTGATAAATGTGCACGCGACTGAAAGTGGTTCGGTAAAAGGGATCATCGTTCCGCCATTATTCGTTATCCTTTCGTATACGAAAGAAACATAATAATAATAACGATCAATGTTTCGAGTGTTTACGAGCGTTCTTCGATATTTATTCGAGCAAAAGGAAAGAAAAAAGAAGAAGAAGGAGAAGGAAAAAGAATTACGAGAAACATGGAGAAACGACCCCCCTTTCATCGAGCCATCCACGGTCGAGGCAGGTTTCATTTTGAATATGAAAAGTCTATGATATTGTCTATGAAACGATCGTTGGTAATTTATTAAATATTAATCTAAATCGTAAGACCGACGACATTAAAGAAATACTGCCATTGTATTTAGGGAAATATTTGCGATATCATTTTTTCGATCCTTTCCGTTGTCACACTCGACGAGAAACGATCGAATTTCTTTTGATTCGTTCGAAGATGCGTGTGATCGAGAGAGTAGTGTTGTTTACCGACGAACGAACGGTGAAACAAATAAATGGGCGAAGGGATGCGAGGAGAAGGGAGATCACGATCGATCGTACAGAACACGAGAACAGTCGTGTAGAGAGAGAGAAAAAGAAAAAGAGAAAAGAAAGAAAGGAAGAAGGATCGATGTACATATCCACTTTGATGAGCTTAACGAATTATTAACGGTGAGAAATTTTAATTTCGGCTTGGTGGAGATCGTCTTCTGTGCGATCGAACCAGGCGACACGTGCATACATACGGTTCTTCCTACAAATTGAGAGAAAGAAAATTAAAAGGATTCTCGATCGGTCGTGCACAATAGCGGGAGAGAAGAACGAAGGGGAAAAATGATCGAATCGGAGAGAGAGGGGGAAAGAGAGAGAGAGAGAGTGAATTTTAGAAATTTTTTTATATCTGTCTTTCTTTTTTATTCTTTTTTCTTTCTTCTTCCTTTTCAATTACCAACACGACCATTATCTCTTTCATTTCAGCCCGATCTTCTTTCATCGCTTAATTCCTCGTTTATTCAAATTTATTTGAATTTATGACGCTTCCCATTCGATTCACGTTCGATCAATAGAGCGGAGAAAAAACGGGCTCCTTTCGCGCGATTAATTATCGAAATTGAAATTATCGATTATCCGTTCGAGCGAATATTATTAATTAAGGATTGAATATCACGTATCATTGACATATCGTACGTATTTCCACGGAATAACGTTTATTCTGCCCGGGGAATAGAGAACTAACGCATATCTTGAGAGAAGTTGAACCACGAATCGAGCGGAAGTAACGCTTCACGCTTACGTGAAAATTGTATTATATACACGTATATAAATATTTCTGAACTCGTACATATCTTACACCTGTCATCCGATCGATCATCTCTGTTTGTAGGAAGAACACATCTGTCACGAGGATGAAAGGACGAGAGTATGAGAGAATGAAAGAGAGAGAGAGAGAAAGAGAGAAAGAGAAAGACAAAGAGAAATACAATATAAATAAATATAAATATATATATAAATATAAATATAAATATAAATATAAATATATCGAAGATCGTTGAAGATTAAGCGATGAAGAGGATTGAACTAATCGTTTCCATCTTAGAGATATGATATACGCGAAGAAGATATACTTTGTACAGTTTGTAATAACAAAATCC